ATATTGGAGAAAAAATATTGTTTACATCCATAAGGAACTCTTGTGTATTCAAATTGTTTAAAAATTTATCTTGAATAGAAAATAAGTGAAAACTTTAAAGATTGCAGCATCGTTGATACAAGAAGATAATTACGAAGTGTTGCTAAGTTTGTCATTGCGATGTGCGATAAAATATCGCTAGGAATGTACGATTGCACTTTGTGGAATTACAGGAGCGCGATTCCACCGAGAATCGTTCACCAGATCACGCGTTACGAAGGCAACGATCGCGATAATCTACGGCGCTTTGCGTGAAAATGACCGGTTAAGAAGATATCCGACGCGCACAGACGGAGGAGCAGAAGAGAATCGGGAGAAACTCGCGCCGATCGATTTTACACCCACTAAATAGCCGGATTTACATTTTATGCGGGGCGTCCGACGCTTTATCGCTCGTGAAAATGGCAAGAATGTTGCCTCGCTGTTGTGCAAGTGTCTTGTCGCCCCCTCAGAAGCCGCGTTTTATTCCGGTATCGTGATCGAGAGGAACGTCGTTATTCGCGTCTGCAACCGCGCCACGAGAAAACGGTCCGAGCGTAAAATTTTTGGTGATCTTCAAACGCGTCGATCGCGACGGTGACTTCTACAGAGATTCGCGGCTATCGTTATTGTGTTTTTTTACTGATTGCACAGTTAATTTAATTATATTAGAAACGTACCTAAATTTTTTGTGTTTTAAATTAATTTTGCACATGGTGAAATTTGTTTAAATATTGAAAATACGTATATTTAAAATACGTATACTATTTAAAATACGTAAAACCTATTTTTTGCGTGAAGAAAACAATCGCGGTGAATTATTCGACGAACATTAATGAAAACATTTGTTTATTTGAAACTTACCGTCGATAAGATTCGTACGCGAGACGATCTCTACCTGCCGTGTTAGGTAGCACTTTGCTTTGGGTTAACGACGGTGCGACGACAGGTAGTGAGCGGGAGTGTCCATTAAATTATCGAGTTTATCGCTCAGCCACTCGTAAAGTCCGCAACGAGAATACCGTATCACTTGTGATTTCGCCGCGAGGCTCTAACTCGCAGGATGACTCGTAGACTGAATGAAAGCTCGACTCTGCTCTTATTCTTCATCCCACGTGTTACAGCCGCGGAGCGATAGAGAGATTGAACGAAGGAAACATTTTCGCGCTTGAGTTTTATAGTTACGCCGCGGTTTATAGTTCATACAATTATTAGCATAACAATATACGTATATATTCTCAAAACTCACAAATGTGAAATACACATATGTTGAGTTGAAACTTTTTCGTACGAAAAAAACCATTTTCGAAGTTGGACCGGATCGTCTCTCTCGGCGGGCGCGAAGAGCGTTCTGTTTTCAGCCGAAGCGCATTGCACCGTACATTTTCGTTTTCGCTCGCTCCATTGCTCGCGGCCGCAAGGCGAGGTAGTAAGTTTCTCAAGTCTACCGTGAATTTTCATTCACCGGAGCGGCGGCGGCGGCGGCCGGCGCGGATTTCCGTGAGAACCGTCTCGAGGAGTTTGTATAGGGTGATACACCTGCGCGGAAAAACAAGCGGGGGAAGGAGTCCGGGACGACCGCGACGCATTTACGGAGATTTAAAGCGAGCGTAACGCCGCTTGACTCGTTTCGTCTGGGCTCTCGGCGTCGGATTTTGTCCGATGTTGGTCGTTTCTTCCTTTCCAGGAGGAGGACCTGTGAAATCTCGCGGAGAGAGACGAGAGCAAAACGCGGAATATATATATATATATACGTGTAGTTCTGAAGATTATCTTTCTTGCGGTCCTCCGATCTTTATCCCGTTTCTTCTTCCTTATATTCGCGCTTCGTGCTCGCCTCACAGATGCTACTTTTCATCCCTCGCGTTATTAACTCCCACACTTAGATACCTCGTTTGCGCCTTATACAGGGAAAATAGGGAGAAGTATCGTGTATTATCTTCTCTGATCGTTTCGTGAAAATATCTGGCGTCGAGGTGATGGGAGCAAATCACGCGAGACGATCGTTGTGTATAAACGGTCATTGACTGCGTGAAGTTAGAACCGCATTCTTATTTATGAAGTTTTATCATAAAGTTGCGTCAATCGTTTATATTCACATTTTTTTTTTTTTTTTTTTATCTCCGTACAGATTTTTTGTTCATTCGTCAGAACGATTACAACAAGTAATATAATAAAAAACTTCAATTGTCAGAAGAGACAATGCGCGAAAATTTAAATCGAGTGAACGTTGTTTGATACATGTGTTTACGACGAAGCTTTGTCGTCGGCTTGAAATGGTCGCGTCTTTAAGGTGCTCGAGGTGCTGATCCAAAGCCGGGACCAATAATTTAGACGGTTTTGGGGGGATCCCGGCAATAATTTAACCCGCCAGGGAAGCCTAAACCGGCAGCTGTGCCACGACAGCAGGCGCAGGGCGACGGAGTCGCGATAAACTCTCATAATTCACTTATGGGATATCCACGGCGTATCAGCGTCTCAGTTCCCGCTTTACTTCCGCAATTGCTCGCGCGTAGAGCTTAAACGCCGCCGCGTTTCGAGCCGTGGAACTCTATTGAAATGCGAACGCGTGTTTCGTAACGTTTGTATACACGCACGTGCGATTATTCGTGGGTATACACTCATTGTGCAAACCAAACTGCGTTTGACAGAATCCACCGAAAGCAGAAGCGGTATAAGAGCAGTGCGAACAAGGAAAAGAAGAAATAATTAAAAAACAAAATAAAAGAAAAACAAAACAAATTTATATGCAGTGAAAACAATTTATTACAAAAATAATTGCAACGCACGTGTGTGATTTGATCGACATTTTAAATGCGTATGATTCTTTTTGCAAAAGTACGTTTTGTGAAACTTCAATATATCGGAAAATACAAAACGGTAGAAAAAGTATAAAGAATAGATTTATTAAAATTCCGTTTGTTTTGTTCGTAATTAAAATATACGCAAAAGTTTCCGATTGACAATATATCTCAAGTGCAAATTGAATGTTTTTACCTTAAAGTCCTTTCTCGAATTCAGTTTTGACGTAAACGAACGGCAAACATAAATTTCGGGTAGAACCCGCCGCGGAATAATAGGCGGATAATTAATTCTACGCGCGATGTCGTATTGCGTGGGTGCTGTGCGTAAGTCTCGAAGACATCGCGAGATAGCTAAAAAGTACACCTCCGCGCGGCGTAATCCACCTGGGGGATTAATGGGATAATTGTGAACGCACGATGAGGAATTCAGTCACTGTCTGACTACGCCGAACTGCGTTTTACGTCATTAGAGTACATGCGCGGCGGTGAATAATCGTGTCTCACAATTGCAAGAAATTAATAGACGGAAATTCTGCTCTGCGCGCTTTTACTCTCTTCTAAATCTAATATAAAAAAAAAACAAAAACAAAAACAAAAACAAATACAATCTCTGAAACTACACAGTCTCTTTGTATAGGAAACGTAAAGTAATAAATAACTTTGTCAGCTCCTTGTTCATATAGCGATTTCACTTATTGTATATCAGAGTGAAATCGCCGTCCTCGGAAAATTAATAGTCGGTGTGTCGGCTGTTTTTTTTTTTTTTTTTTTTTTTTACGTTACGTTAATCCAATCAAAATGTCGGGTACCGACGATTGCGGCGGCGGCGGCAACGTTGTAATGATCCCTCGTAGCCGGAGATACGTATCGTATCGACCTCTCCTCCTCATTCCGAGCTGTTTCTGCGTCGTCGTGCAACGTGCAATCTGGCGGCTGGTGATGGCCGATGACGGTGGCGCTTGCACAATAGATTCGGTTTGATACATCGCCGTGCGGCACAGGAGAGACCGTTAATTTCGTGGCCTCTCCTGCTCCATAGTGCCCCGGCGCGCATCCGCTTTGCCCGTTCTCTGTTTAGATTACTATTCTCCGTCAAACGTCGTTCACGTTAATATCTCATCCAAGTAAATAATAGCAGTTAACGCTGCGCGCGGTTTGGAATGCCGTGAAACCCCGCCATTAACCAGATTTCAACATTGTCGATTGATTCAAAGCACAATTTGCATTTCAATTTATCTCGCTATCCAGAGACAGCTTGTCTGTTTGACAACGGAGAAACAGACGAGATAATTGTTTGATTTGTTTAGATTCGATTGAAAATATTTTCGTTTTCTTTTTATTTTTATTTTTTTTTTTTTTAAAGAGCTTGATGCAATAAGTCGACAATTTTATGCGTTGTAAACATTGTAAACTTCGTCAACGAAAGGAAAACTACATGTGTGTTCACGAACGATGTGAAGTTCAGGCACGTTCTGACGTACTTTAAGCAAATCGAAGTGCTCGTTTGAGTTGTGCGCGAATAGTCTCTTCACGAGAAGAGACACACGTGCTTCGACTTTGGAGTTATTCTACGCGTGTCGGCAATTTCACGTGTGCACAAGTGACTTGTAGTCGTCGCACTTCGCCGAAACGTTTCTGGCACAAACTACACGCCAAACTACGATTATGATCACAATAGTACTCATTTTCTAAAATAAGCACGCAAAAAAGTAATATTCATTTCTTAGTGTTTAGTCACTCAGTAATGTATCTGACAAAAAAAAAAAAACAGATTTTAAAATTTAAGTACCTGCAGGTTTGATTCTTTCTGACAAAAAGACTCATTTTTATCATTTTGATAGTCGAAAATTATTTTTCAAATAATTTCGATCTGATATGATACGAGTAAAAAATTTCTTCATCTAAGTCCACTGTCAAAGGGTTAATAACACACTAGAATTTCGTTAGACTGCGTCATATATATTTAGTTGCAAGAGTCTGTGAGAACTCTTCTCGTGTCTCATCTTTGGGATTCTCTGCCTACTCAGAGCGCAGAAAAAAAATCTTCGATCACACCGCGAAACGGTATTCCAATTATCGTGCAGCGCGGTGATAATCATAGACGTGCTTCGCTTTATACGAGGTGTTCAACGAAATCGGGCTTAAATCGATGCTCACGCTCGTTCGTTTCTGTTTCAGGAACAATGCCAACGTGGTCGTCCCGCCCACCGTATCGGCCGTGTCGAAGAAAGAGCCGCACGAGAACATCGCCCGGATAGCGAAGCGGTACCTCGACGATAACATGCAGCAGGCGTGGATCAATCCTCGTCTAATATCGATGGTGAGTGAATATAAATGCAATGATTATGTCTGCCGAGCCCGCGCGTGCGATCGTCGCCGCGCGTCTATTATTTTCGTTCCGAAGCGAAGGATATGCGCGCGCTTTTTCCGAGCCAGCCGGCAAATTTTTAATTTTTCACGTCAAACTTTCAACATTGAAAAAGTTTTGCGATTAATTTGTGTTGGACTAGAACTGTAACGCGGTACACCGCGCCGCTCTACAAGGTGAAACAACGGCGCGGTTATATAGTTTCTAAGTCGCTCGGGATCTATTTCTGGGATTTCTCGTTAAAGAACCGGGTTTGTGCTGCGCGCGATGTAGATAGAAGCTCTCTCTCGGAAGCATCTCAACGACAGCGACTTGGATTTCCGTGGCACTACCGTTCGCCGGAAGAAAATGCCTTTACGATATCGCGCAAGCCGTCGGTCGATCCGGCAGTACACGACACCGCTGCAAGCTGGCGACAAGTTTTTACGGTTCTCCGAAATGGCTTACGAGAAGATCCTCGTATCAAATGGTTTTCCGATTTTTGCGTGATAAATAACCGCTCGAAATTGACACGTTTCATTTGCGATTTAATTCAGAACGTCGCAAGAACGTTCGCAACAAAGTTCTCTGATTGAAGCTCCTAAAGAAAGAAAAAGAGAACGGGAGGAGGGAACGAATTATATTAGAATGTATTAAGACTTGATCTCTCTTCTCGGGTGGCTTGAAACAAGAACAAGATCGTATTACAGCGAATTTATTCATTCGACATGTTTTGCGTCGGAGTAATGACGGACATGTTGGATTTCGAGTGTTTCTCTTTCGCAAAAGAAAGTATATATATCTCGATTGAGACAATCTAGTACCACAGTTACGGCTTCTGATGTATAAATATTGAATCTTACGGTCCATTAAGATGGACAAGTGGTCGGGTCGGTGTTGCTGACGTTTCAAATATTGCGGAAATAAATCACGCGCGCGCACCGTCCAGGTCGAGTGTCTCATTAGAGTCGTAACCACTCAAACGTTTCGCGCACCTTTGATTCCAGAGCCGGGGCTCGCACACACAGTTACATCTAGAGCATCTCATCTCATCTCATGGGCGCGCGCGACCCAGATACTTTTCGCGAAATGCAAATTTAACAATAGTGAATGAATTCCGAAGCAAGTCGGCCGATCTCTAATTCCACCTCATTATGATATTTTCTCCTCTTGTAATACGCTGCCTCTCAATGATAACTCGCGAGAATCATACAGCGTATGATAAAAAGTTGGTTGTAACACCGAGAGATCTTTTCATTTCCAATAGCTTACGGTTTCTCTTTGTTTCACGGAAGGTTTTTATATTTCTACAATCTGTACATATACAATGAAACTCAACTTAAAATTATAAGAGTGAAAAATGTCGAGATACATGGAAATAAAATATTTGTTCTCATGCAAACTTGTAAAAATAATTACGCAACTCGTTAAAAACTCTGTCGAAATGTGGTTTTTGTAAGGTGTTTGCATTTTCCAATTAACACACGTTGAATATTAAAGAATAAAATTATTTATTTAATAATAATTACACGGAGAACGTATGTATTAATAGCTGTGTTTTTTATACTTTCTCGATATATAAAAATGTATTCATTCATTTTTACACGTAAAAAATTTGGGCTGCACCGGCACTCGATACACGTTGACCAGTTATGTCGTTGACGGCTCGGGGATCGGACTGCACTTCAGACAGGTAGAACGAGGATGGGTCATTAAGCGAGCCAATAACAAACTCGTGATCCACATAACCCTTCGTTACGTTTGCGGGTTACTATTAGCTCGTGGAAGGCAGCAATCATTGCCGGCAGGTAGGAACTCTCGTTTTGTAGCGGTCGAGGCAGTTCCCAGTCCCGCGTCGTGCGAACTCATTATTTCTACTTCTTCCCTTTCCTCGCTCTTCTCTTCCCTCTTTCGCATACTCTTCTTTCACTCTGCTTCTCCACTGTTCGCTTCGCGAGAGAAACTCCTTCTCTTTTTGGTTCTCGTCGCAGCGACCTTACGTAATGTCTCAGTTGCGTGTTTCCTCGCGTGCAGCTTGTTGCACCGATGACTCGACTGTGCGCACACCTGTATGGAATAGCACGCGACGAGAGCCTTTAGAGAACACAAGGTGCAGCAATGCGCATTATCGCGGCATAACGAATTAAGAATCTCGCAAGTCATGTCTCAAATGCGAACATCGCGCGCGTAGAAACCTTTAAAAATTCGCGCGCGAAACGCAGTTCGAATCAAAAGTACATTATTGCGAGGCGATAAAAAACAAAGTTTTAACCGAAGCGCCTTACAAACACTTTTACAATTATTCAGTTAAAAATACTACACAAAATTGTATAAAAATATTTTTAACACACATACACACACACGCACATATGCAAATTTACTTGAGAAAAGAGAGAAAATTGAGAGAACATTGCAACCCACGTACTTTACGCAACGTTCAAGAAGTATTATAGATAATAGACCGATCTGTTTCTTCTTCTCGCGTGCTTTTTCTTCGATATCGACGTCGTGCGCGTGTTCATCGATAAGATTTACGATCATTTCGCATTACTTATGCCTGGCGGCTTTATTAGCATGATTGGTTGCTCCGAGGATAGATTGCGCTGCGCGCGCAACCGGATCTTGTTCGTTCGGTTACGAACACGAGAACTCGATATCTCCCGATCATCATCTTGCCGCGTGCTTCCCGCGAGTTCGAAAGAAGTCGTTCGTTCGACGTGCCAGTAGTTAGCGACGCTTCGCCTAGGATCAAACAACACTATTTGTAATTTGTTTTACGAGGGTCGCCTCGTTACGCGGCCGGTTCTAAATCCTTACAATCTTTCCGGCGACACCGGGGATGGCGACCCTTTCGCAAAGTACCGGGTCTTTAAGCATAATCTAAAACCCCGGTTTTAATGAATTTTCAGATTTAATAAGAGAACTTGCGTAGGTGTGACGAGCGTCGAACTGGTGCGGGAAAAAAAATCATTTTGCGCACAGATATATTCCCGCTGGCGCACCTCGCACGCATAATTATCTTGATAATAACTTTGCTGAGTATATTTTTATTAAAAATCTCAGCATGCAACGCTGCAATTTGTTATTTTATTGATTCACAGTGAAACGGTAATGCTGAAACTTGTTTTTTTTTTGCATTTGATTTTTCTTATCAAGAAAATGCGAAATATTCTAATTATCTTTATTGAGACAAATTAATTATACTTAACAGTTTTCCTGTTTCTACAGATAATCCATGTAAATGATGAACACGAAATATAAATGTTTTGCTACATACACGCGCGATTGATAACAAGATACGAGAGTTAATTAAAGGAGCGACTTCCGAACGTCGGAACTTATTTCTCGACTCATCACAGACGGCGTTTAATAATCCCGAAAATACTGACGATCGGATAGGTCTGCGTATTCGCGTCAGAATGCTCTCTGTATGTACGCATTGTATTGTACATACAGAGAGCGGCTCATCGTCTCTCCCGACGATTCTCCCGAGTACCCTGTATTCGTCTTCCTTTAATAACAATAATAATAAGAAGGGACGGAGGGCCGTTTTAATCAGAGGGTTCACCCGTCTGACGTGATTAACTCGAAAGGCCGAAGAAGATCGAGGCGAGGGGAGAGGAAAAGGTCGGATGCCGCTGTCATTTCGGGTGTTTATCATATCAGCGAACTGAGGGGTTGCGTTTCGTCGCCCCGACTCGGGACGGGATGGCGGTAAATCTTGAATTTCGTGAGATTTTCGTTCGCTGTTCCTTCCTGCGTCTTTTCGCCGGAGAAACTTTCTCTCTCTCTCTCTCTTTCTTGCTTCATTTCATCCCTTTCATTATTCAACCGTTCGAGCGTGGAAAATGTTCTTTTATTTCCGTTAGAGTGGCGCGCTCGTATGAGAATAATGTGCTATGTAGTGTTAATTTATTGTCACAGGCTTTATTGAAACAAAAGGAAGATAGAGAAGTGAGGAAAGAACAAATAAATAATGCTTTTTTCTTATTTATAAAAACTCGAGACGAGCGCTACGCGCACGCTGTTGTTGTTTTTATTTTAACGTGTTGTGCCAGTAAACACAATCTGTCATCGCGATGACAGCTAGTATGTACGTTTTACAAACTATATAATACACATGATGTACATATGAAAGATGTCAGAAATAACGCATGAAAATCAAAAAATAGAAAGAGGGGGGAGTAGAAAAACAACACTAAAGACACGTGTCTTTAAAAACGTGACTAAAGTAAGGTCATGTGACAAAGAAAAAAGTAAAAACAAGAATAATATATTATATATATATTATAAATAATATTCTATATATATACATATATACTATATATATATATATAATACCGTGTATATATATAGTGTAATCACGTGACTGAGGTCAGTGACCTCAGCGCGGTCGCGCGACCGGGGTCAGTGACCTCAGCGCGGTAGCGTGACCGGGGTCAGTGACCTCAGCGCGGTCGCGCGACCGGGGTCAGTGGCCTCAGCGCGGTCGCGCGACCGGGGTCAGTGACCTCAGCGCGATCGCGTGACTGAGGCCAGTAACCTTAGCGCAGTCACATGATTAAGGTCGCTTTTTCTGGTCGAATTAGACGGCTTTTGACATATGTATTTTACACGTGTTCTCTGCAGTGAGAAAAGTTTTTTACATTGATATTGTTTGTTATCGTTATTTTATTAGCAAACAAAGTGACAATCGGTAAGAAGAAGAAACTCGAGAGCTTTAAACGTCTCACGCGCTTTCCGAAGCTAAGTACTTCCGTTTCTACAGTTAAATATCGTTGGCTTTTAAGGAAGATGTAACCGTCCTGAAAGGAAGAGAGAAAGAAAACGCGCGGATAGTGCGCGGTTGTGCTCAACTGACAGGAACATTCTTCCTCTTGGCGCTCAAGTCATGTCCGCCGAATCCCGGGAAGAAGTTTTCTCCGTTTCTCCGAGTCACTAATCCTGCGTCTCGCGTTTCATTCCGAAGCTCT